TCATAGCTGAATTGTTATTTCTTAAATTTCTCCTTCCAGATACTACATAAAGATTTATAGTTAAGATCCCTTTTTATTTTGTGTGTCTGTGCATGTCCTTATGAGTTTGTGTCTGTGCATGTCCTTATGAGTTTATGTGCACCTTGTGTGTGGTTGCCCTCAGTGGTTAAAGGGTATTGAATTCTCTTGAAATAAAGTTACAGGTGGTTATGAGCTTTAAATTTCCAGGTTTTGTGAGCTCTCACTCATACTGGGGTGGGCTTTGAGTTATCCCTGTACCTGTGAGTGGCCCCCTGATATTCCTGAAGTATCCCTAATAAAGTCATTGTGTCACCAAAAAAAAAGTTACAGGTGGTTATAAGCTCCTGATGCATGAACCAAATCAGGGGCTTCTGAACTAGCATTAGGTTCCCTTAACAGCTGAGCCAGCTCTACAAAGTCTGCATTTATTTTGTCATCTTAGTTCTTGCTGTAGTGAATCACAGTTAAATGATCTCAAGACAGAAACACATTTTAATCTCATTTTATCTTTCTTGCATATGCTCACTGTGTGACCTTGTTCAACTTTTCTAATACCTCTTAGTGATATTTCACAAGCAGTTATGAAAAATAAAGAAAATATTTCTTGTAAAATGCAATATATAAAATGGGCCATGTCAATCCACAAGCTAAGTTTGTGTGCGTGTGCGCGCACACACACACACACACACACACACACACACGAAATTTCAGATCAAGGAATTCTTACAGACTTCCTTTAAATCCACTTCAGGAAGGTCTCCAAGAAGCAAGCATTTCACATAAAACAGTGCCTTTTGGCATGTACCACCCTGAAGTTGCCAAATAATTATTGAAATCACAGCAACCATGTTAATAGGAAGGTCCTTCAAACAAACAGAATTTAAAATAATTGTTCATTTTATTTTACCCTTTAGAAAGTCTCAATAATAATGGAGGTGATGGGGACAACAGAAGGTGTGGGGGGGAGAACGCTGGTTGAAATGTAAAATGAAGTTTTAAAATTAATTAATAATAGTAATGTTTATTAAGAATTATTGATCCACAACTAGGAAGATAGAAGCACTGTGATAAGTTTAATTACCCACTTTGCACAATCTTAAAAACTAAGGAAGAGAGTCTCACTGAAGGGTAGTTTAGATTATGTTGCCTTATGGTTATAACTGTGATATAGTGCTAATTAGTGTGAGAAGACCTAGTCCAGCATGGTGGCACTACTCCAAGGACTATAGGAATGAATAAATGATTAAGTATATTGAGAGGGCTACAAATGAATAAACTTCCATGTGTAAACTGTTAACTCTCTCTCTCTCTCTCTCTCTCTCTCTCTCTCTCTCTCTCTCTCTCCCTCCCTCTCTCCATTATGATGCATGCAACAAGCAGCTTCAAGCTCCAACCTTGATCTCTCCACAATAATAGATTTAACCTGTAATTGTAAGGCACGTAAACCCTTTCTCCTTTAAAGTTGCTTGGCCCAAGTATTTTTTATTACAATAGAAATGAATCTAGAAGAATAACATAGGGGTAAATATACACAGATATAAATACAATGAAATCAAGCATATGAGCAGAATTCTGAGGGAGAATTCAGGTATCTATCACTAGGCATGATCATATTAAGAATGTTGTATTCATGGCCCTACCACAGTCAGGGTCTACATTGGTGCTTGTGACTTCTGTTGCCATCAAGGACCATGTGGATACCCAGGATCTGGGCCACCATCTGGGAAAATGTTGGTGTTCAAGAGCCAAGCTGACACTGGATCATGCCAATTTGAGTGACCTGTACTGCCAAGAGGGGCAATGGTGACATCTGGGCCCAGGCTGCTGCCACAGACCACAACTTGGTCCATGGTCCAAACACAGCCAGAGTCTGTGTTGATATCCATGGCCCTTGCTACCACTGAGGGCCACACAGACATCTGGGGTCTCGGCCATCTTAGTGTTCCAGGGCTGCACTGCTAACAGGGCCATACAGAGCTGTGTGGTTTGCACTGCCACCAGGGGGCATGGAGTCATCTGGGGCCAGACTACTGCCAAGGGTCATGGCTAAGTCTGGCCCCTACTGCAAACTGGTTCTGTGTTGATGTCCATGGCTCCTAATACCACTGAAGGCTGAGAGAATAGGGCTACACAGAGTTGGCCCTATCCCTCACTGGCTGCAGCACTAGGGAGATCAGGGCCATGCACCTCAACGAGGTAGCACAGTAGAGTTGACCCCATTGACTAGGGCACAGGTAGTCCAGTCCTGAAGGCATGAGAATAACAGAGTTAGCCCCAGTATCTGCCCCATTATGTGGTGGTGTGGGCAATGGAGAGATGACCTTCTCCACTCCTCACCTCTTCCCACCTGCTGCAGGCAGGCAGGAAAGAACAGCAGAGTTAACCTTACCATGTGTTTGAGTGGGTGAGAGAAAGATGCCTTCCCCCATCCACACCTTGTCACCTGTAGTAGCAGGGAGAGTGGGACTCAGGAGAGCTAGTCCTGCCCCTTACCAACTGAAGTACTCATGAGAGCAGGGGTACAACTTGCCTGGGCAGCATAGTATAACTGACCCCTTTGGCAGGGGTGAAGACCAGCCTGCACCAAGGGCATGAGAGCAGGAGAAATGACACTGCCTCTTGATGTCTGCTGCATCGTTGAGCTAGCAGGGCGGCACTGGAGAACTCTCCCTGGTGGTGATCATGAGGGAAAGCTGGTGGGCTGACCAACCAAGCCCAAAACCAGGGCAATGATTTGACCCACTCCAACACCCACTCCATCTATGAACTCCTGGAGCATGTGAAGGGGCCGGACCTGTGGATCCAAAGCTGCAGAGTCTCCATGACACAAAGCAACAATATCCAAAAGAGTCCCAGTGAGAGTAGCAGAATGTCAGAGGCCTCGAACCAGACTAATGACTCACTACAACGAACACATACAAGTAAAAATCCATGGACTAAATGGCTTTTTAAGTGACTCACTGAACATTATAACATCAACACCAAGATACTTGTTTGTCTTTTTTATTTATCTTTTTTCTTTTTTATTTAACTTTTTACACATGCTACTCTCAGTTCCCTCTCCCTTCCCTCCTCCCCCAACCCCCAATCCTCCCAACCCCCCATCCCACTCCATCTACCCTCTGATTCCAAGGGAGGGATTTTTCAGAGTCTGTCATATCAGCCTGAGCAGGGACTATGTCCTCCCCAACATGTCCAGGCTGAGAGAGCATCCCTTAACGAGGAATGGGCTCCCAGATTCTATTTGTATGCCAGGAATAAATACTGCTCTACTCTACAAGGTCCCACAGATTGCAGAAGCCTCTTCTGTGACACCCAGCTTAGGAGGGGGGTGTCTGGATCAGTACCATGCTGGCCTCTCAGTCATCAGTCTGGGGTCCATGTGTTCCCCCTTGTTTAGTTCAGTTGCCTCTGTGCGTTTCACCAGCCTGATCTTGATTCCTTTGCTCATCACTCCTCTTTCTTTACAACTGGGCTCCAGGAGTTCAATTTGGTTTTTAGCTGTGGGTGTCTGCCTCTGCTTCTGTCAGCCACTGGATGAGGGTTCCAGGATGGCATATAAGGTAGTCATCAATCTCATTATCATGGGAGGGCATTTAAGATAGCCTTAATGTCAGTTGGTGCCATTCTTGTGGATATGTGAAGATCTCACTAGTGCCAGATCTCTCCTCCAACTTATAATGGCTTCCTCTATAATGGTATCTCTCATCATTCTCTCCTTTATTCTTACCCTGCTCAACTTTTCTGCTCCCGTGTGGCCTCCTCTCTGCTCCTCTTTTCCCCCTCTCTTTCTCCCATCTCCTTCTGGCTCCCCCCTGCTCCCAATCCAATTGGGAGATCTTGTCCCATAACCCTTCCCCAGATTACCATGCATCTCTTTTAGGGTCCTCCCTATTTCCCAGACTATCTGGCGGTGGGGATGTAGGCTGGCAATGCCCTGCTCCATGTCTAAAATCCATATATGAGTGAGTACATAAAATGTTTGTCTTTTTGTTACTGGGTTACTTCACTCAGTATGGTTTCTTCTAGTGCCATCCATTTGCCTGTAAATTGTTTATCTTTTAAATTTTAGTTTATTTGAAAAAATGGGAAGATTGCAAGGGCAGGGGGTGGATATGAAGGGATGGGTGATGAATGAGATTGGAATAGATGATGTAAAATCTACAAAGAGCCAATAATAACTTAAATAGTATTTAATAAAAATATTTTAAAAGAATATTTGTCTGAGAAGATATTGATAGGAGATTAACTCTCCATTCATCTCTCAAGCACCAGTGATACCTATGGCCTAACCTGATGGGAGATGTACTTCTGTATGCTCTGAATATATGTTATTCTTATTGGTTTATAAATAAAGCTGTTTCAACCAATGGGCAGGCAGTATTTAGCCAAGTTGAAAATTCAGACAGGGATAAAGAAAGGTAGTAGGCAGAGTCACAGAGATACCATGTAGGTACCTAGGAAGCAAGAGACCTGGAATTCACCTATAACTCAAGACTATGTGGAGACACACATTCATAGACATAGGTTTAAAATTAGGAGAGAACTAGCCAATAAGAAACCTGCACCATCAGCCAAACAGTTTATAATTTATATAAGCCTCTGTGTGTTTATTTGGGAGTAAATGGCTTTCAGATTGGGCAGGACAGAAACTTTCATTTACACTAACCCCTGGAATCCCTAAGTATATTATAATGACTATCAAAGGAAATGATGATTATATGAGAATTGTGTTTACCAATAAGTTGATTTAATATTTAGAAATTATCCACTTGAGTTCAATGTAACAACAGAAATTATTATTAGAGGAAAACAGATCATGGTTGTGAGACTAAGAGAGAAAATGTAAGATGCCCACTTCTAAGAGAGAAGTGGAGAGGAGCAATGTGGAAGATGGAAACATCAACATGTCTTCCTCCTTATATAGAAGATAGACACATCAATATGTTTTCATCTTTACATTATTTGGAAAGGACCTGTGTCTTCTGAGCGCCAGCAGAACCCAAGTGGACTAGTGGATGATTCCTCTTGTCTGAGCAAGAGATGGCATGATACCTGGAATCTGCCTACCACGAGCCTCTGAGCTTTAGAAGCCAGCTGGATGAAGGGATGTAATAGGCGCCTGGGAGGGACACTGAAGTCAGCAGTGGGGGGGGAGAGGCCTGGACACACCCCTTCTCCTCCAGACTCCTCCCGGTCAGGGTCCACCTGGCCATGGACTTTGGACCTGGATAAGTGGAGAGAAGCTGTGCTTTGGTGGACCTGAGTCTCAGTTTTGAAAATGGAGAGTTAGGAAGTGGGGGTGGGGGTCTTGTTGATCTCCAGGGGAGCTACTGAGAGAAGCAAAGAAAGGTACATGGCTTCTTCCTAGTCCCAGTCCAGAAGAATAAACCCTTAGACTGGGGAAGTGAGCCAGGCAAGCCAAAAGCAGCCTTGAGCCCTCCCCTTGCCTGCTCTCCCCTGTGGGGGCCAGGATGCTGAAGAAGCAGTCTGCAGGGCTTGTGCTTTGGGGTGCTATCATCTTTGTGGGCTGGAATGCCCTGCTGCTCCTCTTCTTCTGGACACGCCCAGCCCCTGGCAGGCCCCCTTTAGACAGTGCTCTCGATGACGACCCTGCCAGCCTCACCGGTGAGGTGATCCGCCTGGCTGAGGACGCTGAGGTGGAATTGGAGCTGCAGTGGGGACTGTTGCAGCAAATCAGGGAGCATCATATTTTGTGGAACCAGAGGTGGAAAGTGCCCACTGTGGCCCCTCCAGCCTGGCACCGTGTGCCTGTGACCCCCTCACCAGCCGTGATCCCCATCTTGGTCATTGCCTGTGACCGCAGCACTGTCCGGCGCTGCTTGGATAAGTTGTTGCACTATCGACCCTCAGCCGAGCATTTCTCGATCATTGTCAGCCAGGATTGCGGGCACGAGGAGACAGCACAGATCATTGCTTCCTATGGCAGTGCAGTCACACACATCCGGCAGCCAGACCTGAGTAACATCACTGTGCAGCCAGACCACCGCAAGTTCCAGGGTTACTACAAGATCGCCAGGCACTACCGCTGGGCACTGGGTCAGATCTTCAACAAGTTCAAGTTCCCAGCAGCTGTGGTAGTGGAGGATGATCTGGAGGTGGCACCAGACTTCTTTGAGTACTTCCAGGCCACCTACCCACTGCTGAGAACAGATCCCTCCCTTTGGTGTGTGTCTGCTTGGAATGACAATGGCAAGGAGCAGATGGTAGACTAGAGCAAACCTGAGCTGCTCTATCGAACAGACTTTTTTCCTGGCCTTGGCTGGCTGCTGTTGGCTGAGCTGTGGGCAGAGCTGGAACCCAAGTGGCCCAAGGCCTTCTGGGACGACTGGATGCGTAGACCTGAGCAGAGGAAGGGGCGGGCCTGTATTCGTCCAGAAATTTCTAGAACGATGACCTTTGGCCGCAAGGGTGTGAGCCATGGGCAGTTCTTTGACCAGCATCTTAAGTTCATCAAGCTGAACTTCGTGTCTTTCACCCAGTTGGACTTGTCATACCTGCAGCGGGAGGCTTATGACCGGGATTTCCTTGCCCATGTCTTTTATGCCTTCCCCCTTAACGCTCCCTAGCCATGCCCAAAAGTGGGCCTGGCTAGTGACATAGTTCACCCCCTAGAGTACGTATAAGTCTTTAAGTCTGGCCGCTTATACGTCTTTAGTCATGCCTAAAGTGGGTGTGGTTAGCGGTGTGGTAAACCGCCCTTTTATTACCTCATCTGTATGCGCCTCTAGTAAGTCACATGGTTAATGGCGGCATACAGACTTCCTCCTACAATATAAACCTCTGTGTGTTTATTTGGGAGTAAATGGCTTTCAGATCGGGCAGGACAGAAACTTCCATTTACACTAACCCCTGGAATCTCTAAATATATTGTAATGACTATCAAAGGAAATGATGATTATATGAGAATTGTGTTTACCAGTAAGTTGATTTAATATTTAGAAGTTATCCCCTTGAGTTCAATGTAACAACAGAAATTATTATTAGAGGAAAACAGATCATGGTTGTGAGACTAAGAGAGAAAATGTAAGATGCTCACTTCTAAGAGAGAAGTGGAGAGGAGCAATGTGGAAGATGGAAACATCAACATGTCTTCCTCCTTATATAGAAGATAGACACATCAATATGTTTTCATCTTTACATTATTTGGAAAGGACCTCAACCCTTCAGCCTGATACATGTTGGTATTTTCCCATTAAGTTGAACTCTAACCTCTATAACTGTTAGAAAATAATTTGTACTGACTAAGTCAATAAGCTTGTCACCTTTATTCTATCAGTAAAAAGCTAACACAGCTTTGCCTGGCAGCAATTCTCTTGAGTTAAAATAAATAAGAACAATGGTTAAATTTTCTCCAGGAAATAATAATGGTTTTTAGAAATGGCACCCCTCTGGAACAAAGCCAAACAACCATAAAACTAAATCCCCAAACAAAACAAAACAACCTAAAAGAAACTTCAAACTGACAGTTTTAAAGTCACTTATAAAGAGCTAGAATCAAGTTTGAGTAGATGCAGTTTTCATATAACTATCAACAATGCATGCATAAGGAAACATGCATATAAACCACATACACACACAGACACACACACACACACACACTCACTCACATACATTCATACACACTGTTAGGACTAAGTCCCAATTACTTATTATATGTTTTAGAAAGTAATACTTCTCAAAGTTTATAAACAAGAGGAAATCTTGCCTTTTAAACAATTTTTATATTGTCACCTTACATCTCAGTGAAGGTGAACATCATAGATAAAGTTTTAAAGGAAGCCTCATGCCATGCTAATTTATCTCAACATCAGCCAGCGTCTGTGATTTTAGGATAATTGATCTCTAAGTAAAAACAAAGGGTAGTGTAAGGACTTCTATATAATAGCATTCAGAATATTTATAAAATATTCCTAATTGTATTTTCTAACTATACTACTACACTTAATTTTCCTCAGTTCATATCTCTTAGGAGTGGAGACATGTAAAATAATGAGAAAAATATGGTTGAGAATAGCATTAGAAGGAGATGGCATGTTATTTGATTTAAGTGTTATCTTATGTGTGTCCTCTAGTTGAAGTTTGTGACAAGTGGTCATTACAGTGGCAGGTTCTTAGGTAGAGAACACCTGGAAATGGTTTAAAAATTAGTTTCGTCTTCTGGTTCCAGGAAGCTACATATTTTCAGTTTTATGATGTCCAAAGTTGAAGTGAGATGAGTGTGATGCTCACATTAAAACATACAACTTTGAAAAAAAGGTCTCTAAAATATATTATTTTGTGGTGAATGCTGCTGTGATCAACTAACTAGGAGGCCACAAGAAAACATTCTAAAGGGAAATGTGCACACCATCCGAACATCTGGGGCCAGTTTCTTCTACTGGCTTCTGGAAAGCAGTGAGCCAAAACCTAAGGCAATATTTTACTCTCATCTTTCATGCAGTCTTAATTTAAAAAGATTAAGTTTTGTACCTTTGGTGGTTTTGTGGTTTGGGCACTGCCTGCAACTTTGGAGTTGGATGTGTTTCTAATGCTCCAGCTGTTTTCACTTCAGAGAATGACAACTAGAGGAAATGTACCAACCTTCCTGCTTTATTGAGCGTTGCTAATTTATGACTTTGTTTTAGCACTTGCTTTCGGTGACCTGTTTTGGATTAACCCAAACTCATTCTTTCAGTGCACTGAATTTACTGTCAAAATGGATAAAGTGTGAGGAATCAGTGCATCTGGAGGTTCGATTCATGCAAAAAAAAATGTTTGTCTCTTCATGCACAAGTAAGATTTCCAGGACCCCTCTCAAGAGTGAGGGTGACAGAATCTGGTGATTCTACCAGAAGGTTGACACCTACATCTCTGATGCAAGTATTATCAAACAGGCAGATTTTAGATCCTCATGTCTCTTCCAATCTTAGTTTGCAACTAGAGGACATATTTTATGTTGGTGAAAAAGCTGATAGTGGCACAGTCAGAAAAAAATTAAGTAATTTCAGGAAAATAACTTAGAAAATTATTTTATAATTATTTTTTTCATTAGCAATCAGGGAGAAGCTGTAAACATTAGCATCCAACATTTGACTTCCAATAATAATTCCCAAAGAATATACATAGAAGCAATGGTAGTAGTATTAATAATAGGGGAACACAGTGATGTAGTCTTTACTTAGAATTCAAAACTTTGAAAAACCAGAAAAATAAGATCCAAGGAAATTAAATATCATGTGTGAGGAGACATTTTGGTGAAGTGGAAAATCCAGACTTCTTGGACTTGGCCCTCGGGTTTTTACTGTCAGTAATTTTCTTTAAATAGCTTTTCTTCTGACTAAAAAAATGATTTGGCCGGGCGGTGGTGATGCACGCCTTTAATCCCAGCACTTGGGAGGCAGAGGCAGGAGGATCTCTGTGAGTTCGAGGCCAGGCTGGACCGACAGCCTCCAAAACAGTACAGAGAAACCCTGTCTCGTAAAAACCAAAAAAATAAAGATTTGGACACCCTTTAATGCAAGTCTTCTGGAAATATATTAATAAATATATGGGAGATGACTGAAGAGTGCTATTAAGGAACTCTATTAGCTTATGATATCTGCAGTTTGCATAGTCTATGGAGCAAAACTATGCTTGAACAAAGGTCTGAGTATTGTTCAGTAATTATTTGGAAAACCCATCTAGAATATTATTCTTCTAGTTAATGCATGTGTAACTGAGGAAACATGCGAAGGTTATTGTGGGAACACAATACACATAATTATTTCAGGGGAGAAAAAGAAAGAGAAGAAAGAAAGAAAGCATACTAGGGATTTGGTGGTTTCAGGACAGGCTCCTACAATGTCTATTTGTTTAGTCTAGGAAAAGTAATGATAATAATGAATGACAAAACTGAACAAATAATCTAATTCAAAGTGGTATATTTTGCGTTTTCAGATGCCTGCTCATAACTTAAAAGCTAATCTCTCCTTCTCTCTATATATATGTACATATACATATATATTTCCCTAGAATTCTATGTGAAATATGTGTTTAGACGAACGTTTGATTTGTTGTATTTGCCCAGTGTGTAAGATAAGTGCATTACTAGGCCTCCCTATTTGAGTATTGTCAGCATTTACATAGTTTAGCCCACATAACATGAAAGATGCATATGTGAAAAAGTTGAAAGTAATAACAGCACATTGAAGAAATTTGGCAATGTACACCACATTCCCAAGAGAGTACAACATTACTCAACCACTTACGATTTTTATATTCCTTATCTCCTTTAAAGATTTAAGGGAATTTCAGGGTACAATTTTGGTGAAAAGACATCCATGTGACATGCGTAACTACTACTCTAGAGCATGTTATAGGAAATCGTTTCCCCCATTTCAAGAGTAGGATGTAGTGCTTTGGCTGGGAACCTCAGATCATCCTTCATGGTTCCTTTTCTAATTAATTGAACATCATGGACAAGTATCTAACATATGAGTATGAAGGAGGATTGTGTGACTATTGAGCTCTTCTGCTGCTAAAGAAGAATAACAACATTTATTCCATGATCTAGTCAGTGCTCTGCAAGCTTCCAGTGTATTAGCAGATGAGGATTTCCCTTGACACTTGTACATACACAGACAGGCAGACTAGAAGGAAACAAAAATCATTTCTGCATCAGGTGTCTTGAGCATATCCAAGTTCTCATCAGAAAGACACCCAGGGCTTCATAAACACCACCAAGGGAAAAGGATAAAAGGAGATTAATTCAGTTCTTAATGGAAACTTGGTGGGATAATCAAAGTGATGGAGTGGTTTTGTGAGACATAGCTGAAACACCTGCCAAATGCAGAGCCCATAAATTTCCACAGTGACACCACTAGTCATTAGAAATTTTCTGCATCCATTTCCACTCCTGTCTCCCATTGCTCCAATTTATGACAGCAGAAATACAACAAACCAGAAGAGTGATTACAAGTCAAGGCATTGGCCCAACTGGGATGAGGAAGTGCACGCCCCTTCCTAGCTTCCAGATCTCACAGGCAGCAAACAAATCAGGGAAGGAGTGTGAACTTGAAACCATGATCAGAGTTGGCTTTCACAAAGACCTCAGTTATCAGTTCCCAAGTGGAGGCTATGTTGTTGCCCGGAAGATATCAGAAAACAGTTTGTATGATCAAGCTTAATCAGAAGAGAAGTAAGAAACTACCACGGGTTTCATTCTGGCTAGAATTCAGCATGGACCTACCGAGTAAATGAAAATGTAAATGAACTATGGGGATAGGATATTCTTTTATGACGTCAGAGCCACTTGTTTGGTTTTAGGGCTATTGCAATAAAGTTATTTACAACCATCACCAAGAGAATGGCTGGGGTTTTTTGTTGTTGTTGTTGTTTTGTTTTGTTTTGTTTTGTGAGACATGGTTTCTCCTTGTAGATTTGGAAACTGTGCTAGAACTCACTCTGTAGATCAGGATGGCTTCAAACTCGCAGAGATCCACCTGCTTCTGCCTCACAAGTGCTGAAATCACCGCCCAGTTTGAAAATGGCAGGTTTTTGAATAACCTATAATATAATATACTTAACATTTTCTAGGTTTGCTACAGCATCTAGTTTCCATTTTTATTCTCTAGTTTTCATTCTGTTTCCAAACTTGTCTTTGCTTGGTGTTCCAAGGTGAGACCATTTGAACCATGTATGAAAAGAACTGAAAAAAAGAGGTAATCTAAGCAGAGTTTAACCTATGGCATTAAATGTCAGTATTTTTCTATCTTTTAAATGAGAGTGCCACATGTAGACAGAATGAATTGTTGAAATTAGTACACAACAGTATTGGGAAGTAATCTCTTCCCCACTGAATGGTGAATTGTGCTCCTTCAGCCCATTTTTATACATGCTTCTAATAATAAACTATACAGTATGTAGCCACATAAAAAACTTCCATACGTTGTAGAAAATAATAATCTCACTATCCATAATTACAGGCAATGATTGCAAAGTGGGTGGGGGAGGGAGTCCTAATTTTCTTAATACTCTCATGCATGGAAAAACCATCAAACTTCTCTTCCTATTTGTAATTGCATTGACTGATTCTAGCTGGGTTTGCTTTTCCAAATCACAAGTCAGATCATTGAAATTTTGCTAACAGGTCTTTGGGCAGCTTCTCATCACTTAGTTTCTATAGTCCTAAAGGCCTTGATAAGAATCTCCTGAAGTTACATTTATCTTATGCAATCACTCCATCAAGGATCAGGCTGGACTCTCTATTCATTGACCTTATATCTTGATTAAGTTTTGGCTGGAAACTAATAAAGCTGGGAACTAGAAAATGGAATAGTCCATCATTTATGGAATCTTGCTTGAAGACGCTGTAGGGGAAGGAATAATAAATGTTCTCTTACTAAGGGTCTGCCAAGTTAATGGGTCTAACTTTTTCAAGTTACTAATAGGATTAGGGATGTTGAAAACTGTGTCCACAGAGTTAAATAGGTGTGGAAAGTCAGGGGAGAAGTTTCACATAATTAATTTTTAAACCTTGTTAACTACTATTTCTGAGTATGATATATAGTTACTCAAAATCAGATCTTGCTATCTAACACATGTCAGTTCTGAATATTAGCTATTCTGTGCCATGATCTTTAAAGCACACAGTATGTATGCTAACATGTCTTCTTAATCATGGGCAAGCAATATATCATGAAGATCTTGAAAGAATTCTGTCCACTAGTAGTATCAACTGGATCTAATATATTATGCTCAAATTACATTGATATTTCTATCTTCTCTATAAAATATTTTCAGAGGTTAGATCAAATGTCCTGCAACAATTAGAAATTCCAACATTTTCCCACAGAATTCTATTGGTTTATTTCTGAAGACATGTTATTTGTTATATACTAATATATTGTAGTTCCACTTGTATGGCAAACTGTTTCAATCAGGGAGGTCGTTTCTGTGATCTGAAGAATAGTATGACTCATGTCTCCACAGTTTCACAACTTTTCTTTTTGATATAATTTATGAAGTGTTTCTTTTTAACTCATATACTAGTTTTTAATATCAAAATGTTTCATATTTGTCATATTTTAGATTTTAAAACTTGAAATATAATTTGAAACATTTATATTTTAATTACAGCATCTAGTAGAGTTATACTTAATATATTTATCAATATATTTGAGGT